AATCTTTTCAAAGACTGTCAAAAGATTTGTAAGGCAAGATTTCCCCTTAGTGAAACAATTTTGAATATCCAATAAAATTCCAAACTTTTATGAGACTTTCCAAAACTTTTCTCACAACTGATGTAAGACTAATGGGTCTATAATTACTGGGACAATATTTATCACCTCCCTTGAAAAGAGGAGTTACATTAGCTAACTTTCAATCCTCTGGTACCTGCCCACTATTCAAGGACTGACAAAAAATAGTAGCAAATGGCTTGCATATCCAATCTTTAACCTCCTTCAAAACCATTGGGGAAATATTATCTGGCCCAAGAGTCTTATCATTCTTTAAACTTGCATTTAGTTTATCCTGGCCCTCGTCACTGTTTAGTCCTAGTTTAAAACTTAATGCTGCATACAAATTTTTCAGTTGATGTAAGGAACAGGATAAGTATGTGTAATAATTCACTGAAAAAAAAAAAAGATTTCGAAGGGAATTTTGCTTTTTTAGAGGGTAATTGTAATGAGTTTACTTTTCATAAGTAAGAGATAATATTGAAATTAACAAGTATTCTTTATAAAATATTATTATAAAGTCACTTGGTAATATTCAAAGTGTTACCATTTCCACATTGAGGAAAACAAGACAGTTCTATAAAGATATATTAAGCAATTATGAAACCATTTTCCTCAAATTTTTCAAAAGATTTAGAAACACTGAATAATGTTTATTGATAATAAAAAAAAAGGCTAAAGCAAAGAAAATTTATTTAATGAACGATTTTCCAGACTGAGAACACTATGGTAGTATTGATCTATCTGAGGAGACATAACAGATGCTACTAGGTTTCTCTATTTTTAGGTGAGTTAGCAAGTACATCTTTTCTTCCACTATGAAAAGTGGCAGATTTTTGCCTTACTATAGACATATAAAACATATAATTTGTCATAAGGAGAAAATAAAAACAACCAGTTGAAAATATGATTTTCAAGCACAAGTATTTTTTTTCTATAGTAAGGGCCAGTTTATCTAGTGAGAGAATATTTGACTAAAGTCACTTATCTATATATACCAGCTAGGGAACCTGTTCTAGCATGGGAATGAATACAGACAAGGTTTGTCTGAACCATTGTAGCACATTGAGTAATATAATTGGAACGTTTGGTATTGCTCACAAAGTTAAAATAGTGACACCACAATTATTCATTTTTCAAGTCATTTTGAAACACACTGACAGTGTTTGAATTTTGCAAAAAATCAGTATTTGTTCAAAGTATATCAAGTTATTGGCCCACACTTATATTTTGTAGGCAAAAAAAAAATGATAGAAGATTTAATTTTATTTCTAGTGGTATGGCCACATGAGCTATCAGTGTTGTACTATTGTATCTTTCTAAGCTTTCTTGAGGCCACCACTTATCTATATGTATATTGTATAAAATATCGTTTGCAACAACCATGACTAGAACTAAAAAAATACATTTGTATTTCTCATACTGAGAGCTTCAAACTGATGAAGGTTGGCCAATCCCAGCAGGATATTGTAACTGGTTAAGAGTGCCATTAGCAGGATGTGGAACAATGGTGAATTAGCTTGGATGCTTATGTAAAGAAATGGCCACTGTCTGTGATTTTGAAATAACAAAACTGCAGGAGGGTCTAATGCAGGGGTGGGCAACCGCTGGCACGCGTGCCAAAAATGGCACGCCACTAATTTTTTTCTGGCACGCGAAACCATCTCCTGTAATCCTCCATTAAACGACTTTTTCTCAATAGCGGCTTTTTTATTTCTCAGATAAATACAGTGTAGAGGTGCATCTCAGATAAATAAATAATTCTACATTACAAATTACATTAAACGATTTCTTCCCAGACCCGATCAGTGTTTTGGTTTCAGCCTCCGCAACTGGTTTTCGTTGACAAGACAAGACTAGATGACGTCAGACAGCGCTCCTGATTGGCCGTTTAGCATCACCAGCTTTTTTTAAACATCATCGAGTCATCTGTTGAGCAATTCTTCAAAAGATTTGCGAAATTCAGAGAACTGGAAGAGACAGCGAATTTCATGAGGTTTCCAGACAGTATGAAACTGGAGGAACTAAACTTACAAATGTTTTCATGGATTGACATGGCTGACTTTGAAATGCAGTTGATTGAATTTCAGAGCAGCTCAATTTGGAAGCAGAAATTCATTGACCTTAGAGTTGACTTGGAAAACATTGAAAAAAAGCGATTACAGATGGGAGTACCAGAGAGAAGGGCAGAAAACAAATTATTGATGACTTGGAATGCCATTCCAGAAAATGTTTTCTGTTTAAAAACTTTGCAACAGCATTGCTCTCCATGTTTTCATCTACATATGCTTATAAATCTTTGTTCTCAGTGATGAACTTTATTAAGTCTCGTAATAGGAGTAGCCTGGCGGATGAAACTAGTAGTTCGTGTATATCTCTGAAGGTCACGAAATATAACCCCGATGTAAAATCTGTCATCAGTGACGCAGCAGCAGAAGTCCCTCTGATAATATATCAAAAGGAGCCGTAAAGTTTTCTGTCGGACTGATATTTTATGTACTGACGTTTTCTTTAGAAAGTGACCTAACCCTAACTGAAAAAGTTTTTTGCAAGTTTTTCTGCCGGACGGATATATGATGTCTTCTTTTGAAAGTGGCAAAGATTTATTGGACGTTGTTTTGAAGATGAATAAATGTATTTTTCATCATCATATACTGTGTTTTTACCGCTCGAGTGAATTTTTGTCATTTCTTCAGGTTCTTCACATACACCATAAGAATATGTTCTCAAAAAATTTTGGTTGGCACGCGGAAGAATTTTGTGTCAGAGATTCTGCCGGTTTTGGTAAGCAAGGCACAAAAAGGTTGCCCACCCCTGGTATAATGGAAGACAAAATTACATCACTGTCATAGTTAATAGCTATAGGAACACTGTATCTAATTATTTAGTTCATAATATATTAATTTTCTTGACTGGAGTATGGGGAGTACATCCTATGTTCCTTTATGCTGTCTGTTGCAAATAACGCCTTGATTTTAGCCTAATGGATTATAATACCCACCTTTACTGTGATAAACTGGCTGATGCATTCCTTGAATAAGAGGGGATTGACTGAATGGAGTAGGCTGCATGTTCACTGGATTTAAATGTCATTGAACATATATATATGCCCTGCTATTGGGAGACGTGTCATATGACTCCCTGCCAGTAAAAATACCTTCAAAACAGCCTTTGTAGAGTAGTAGTTAAGGATAATTGAGGGCCTGATTAATATTACTTTTAAAAATGCAGAATTGGTGTTAGACTGGCCTTGTACTCGTGTATGTTAGTTATATGCTGCAATCTCCCAAACAAATAATGTACATATAAGAAAGAACTGCTTTCATTTGTGGTCTTCGTAACACAATTATAGCCTGTTTATAGGGTAGGAGGTTCACCCTTCAAGTGGACCATGCTTTGATGAAGTGGCTAATGACTTTAAAATAGGAATGGGATGATAAAATGTTGGAGAACAACAATGCAAGAATATGACTGTTATACTGCACTACCTAAGCCTGCAACACAAACACGTATGGGCTATCTTGTATGTTTTGATACTGGATGTAGTGTGGTAATTGAGATAATAGCAAAGTAAAGTCATGAAGTAGAAGATTCTGCTTATGGATAGATGCCACAACTTTTTCGAAAGGATCACTCCTGTGAGTTCTGAGAATTCTACAATGTATGCCACCTTGGACTCGCTAGGTTCTGCAAGTAATGAGGCAGTTATGCTTTATTTTATAGCTTGAGGTCCAGCCAGTCAAATATATGTTGCAACATGTTTCTCTGCTTGTGAGCTTGACAGCTGTTTCTAGACAAGTTGAATATGGTGGTGAGGGCCTGCCAGCTCTCAGACCCCAGAAATGTCCACCTTTTCTTACTTGAAGGCATAATCACACCCGTTCTTAAAAACAGTTTTATTGTAAAAAGCTTAAATGAATTATAGAATTTTATATCAATTTAAAGCTGGATGCCTGCTTTTTGCGAATCTGTTATCAGTTAGTACTAAAATAGGATTGTTTTAACTAGAGCATGTAATATCCCAATCTTTGTAAAAGTTGCATTGCACAAAACATACATTTATTCTATTTTAATTAAAAAAATAACCTTTTTTCTTTCAACTGACCCTAAACTAAAGTCTAGACATAATAAGAAATATGATACACTTGAAAGGATTTCACTGTATAAGAATTTCATCACACGAGCCACTTTTCATAGATGCATATAACAACAGTAGAAAACTGCATGTTGCACATGTAAACATTCTTTGTACAACCTCTACCTTTAATGCACGTAAACTAAAATAGAGTTTGTAAGTATTTTCTTAAAGACGAATTATGCATATTTAGTAGTTTTTAATTATAGAGTTTGGAAGCTCACATTAGCATATAGGATACTTGTTTCTTTACTTTTGCTTTCGTTGTTAGTAATGCAAATTCTGATCATAAATGAGTTCTAATTGCTTGATTTTCATTTCTAGTCCAGCCAAGAAACTGAAATTAGTCTTAAATTTTGAAAAGTGCATCGCCTGTCGAGTAGACAATTCTTATTGCTTATGAACAAGACTTAATGGTTCAACATAATACACCAGTGCTCAGAAGAAATGTGCTGCTTTGTCAAGAATTCTAAAACCCAAGTTTCTTGTGAAAGAAATGAAATGACATGGTTTTTGCTTAAAGAAAATTAGTAGTCATAATATTCTTTGGAAATTGAATACTTTGGTTCCTGAAATCAGTTCATCATGGTTATTGAAGCAAAGCATCTCAACTTCAACTGCAAGCACAGCTGCATTATGTTTTTCAAGGGCAACAAATCTAAACACAAATGGAATCAAGGAAAGCTTAACAGTATTGAATGTACAGATCAACAACAGAAGTTCTACATGAAATCAAAGAAAAAAATGACAGGTCCTAAAGAAAGTGCTGCTGTGCATTGACATAATTAGCTAACAACGTGAGGTACCACAAGATAATTATGGATGCCAGATTGTCTACAGAAAATTAAACTTTGAACCAAATCATAGTGCAGCATTTTGTAACTTTGTCTTTTATTAAATGGGAGTTAAGAAGAGGAAAAGTTAACTATACTTCAGTATTGATGGACATCTTCAAAGATGAGATTACTAAAGCAGAAGGTTCTGTTTCTAACATTTGTTTTAAAAACTTAAAAAGATAACTGGTTGGTAATTTTGGGATGGATATCAAATTCGTGAAAAAGGAAAGAAAATAATTTGTTTATCTCAAGAGTGCCTGGATAGTGTACAGCTAAGCACATTGTGATTTACTGCAGCTCGCGAGTATACCTTGTGAAGAATTATTATTAGTATCCATTATCTTACCTAATCTAATCTTATCTAACCTAATAAGTTTCTGATTATTACGTTTTAGTTATTTTTATAACAACAAATAAAGAATATACATGAAAAACAAGGAATGCTTACCTTTGGGCTCTTGTTTTCTGCAGTTAGTTGCTGATGAAATTTAAGCTTACCTTTTTTATATTAATGGAACTAGTAAATTAAATAAGTTTTATTTACTTAAATAATGCATCCAAGAACACAGAATAATAAGATGCACAAAGCAAACAATATCCTATAACTATCATAATTTAACTGCGTTTCTAACTATGACATAATAACCTTAAAATAATTATCAACGCTTCTCGATCTGAACATTGCGAGAGAAACTTTCAAACTGAAGACAAAACAGACAATACTCTTTACTGAAAGCAAGGTAACATGATACGTCATATGATAGATTAAACTTTAGTTTTCTATTCGTTATAGATAGTATAGCATAAAATATCAGAGGGAACTATTGGCAATTTGTGAAAGAAAGGATGTGATTGTTTGTTGGTTACG